AGAGTCTATGATAAAAATATGAGGGTCTATGATAAAAATATGAGAGTTTATGATAAAAATATGAGGGTCTATGATAAATATATGAGGGTCTATGATAAAATAATATGAGGGTTTACAATTAAAAAATTATGATGGTCTATAATTAAAAATATATGAGAGTCTATGATAAAAATATGAAGGTCTATGTGCTAAAGCAGCTGCTTGCACTAAAACCACCTCAAGCTGCTGCACTACTGATGGGTTCGTCAACACCGATGCATCGGCGCATGCGTCAAACTCGTAGAACAAAACTTTTGTCGGCGCGCATGTCGCTATGAGGACGTCACGTGACCGATACAGGAGCTGTTTCGAACTGACACCGACGCACCAAACTGTGTTTATAAGCGTATCTGTCAACGGGATGCATCTGCCTAAAGAATCTTTGGTCATCATTAAATCCATCAAGAATTATGAAGCAGCCTCAAACCAAAAGAAAGCTTTCTGTCGTGTGGGACCATTTTGATCTCATATCGGAAAATAAGCTATTTGTTTTAATTTTGTTTCGTCCTGTTCTTAGAGTTTCCACTTGATCCATCTGAATTCAAATTCATTTCAACATCAATCTTAGTTTACTATTCACATCATTTTCTGTTGGTTAAATGTGGCGTTTGTTCGACGGAGCTTTCATGTTTAAATAAATCCACCCCCTCAATGCTGAGACACACTGCGCGGCTCCAGTGACTGGTTACAACAACACACCAACACAGCCAGTACATTTTTAAAACGTGCTGGCTCATTACGCAATAATTGCACTTGTCGGCTCGGGCTTCTACGATGCGGTTTCACGAATCATACGGCACAAAGAAAATGAGAATGCACAATATAAAACTGTGTTTATCTACTTGTTGAGGAGGAGGCAGGTCAAACCGGCCGGTACAGGTAAAAATAAAAAAAGTCCTGTTAACCTCAGATGGATCAGCTGATCATCACCGTCTCTGCACCTTCTGTCATCTGCAGTGAAGGAAGCAGCAGAATTACAGGGCCGGTTCTAGGCATGGTTACATGAGGGGGCAGGCGGAAATATGAAGGGGGCTTCTTCATCCGTACACATATTACAGCATATTCATTGCTGAGCATGGACGTTGGTTTCCATTGTTGTAGTTGACTTGTGTTTTCTTCATGGGATTGGGGTAAAAGCTAAAAACTGAAATGTTTACACCTGAGTGTCAACATTTTCAACCATGAACACCATCAAGCAAAACCACAGAAACCACTGACCCATGCCCAGCTTGAATGTCTCAGTGTGGCTGCAGCAACAAATTACAAACACAACATGAAGAAAGTCAAGGACACGCTTCTCATCTCTGGACTAATTACATTTTGTTTAAACAGATAATGCGCTGGTTGCGTTTCTTTTTTGTTCATAGGTGGGTTGTTCTGTTTTTCTTTTCTTTGAGTGACTCGGGGTGATATCGCAGCTCTCCCCTTGACTTTGATCCGTCAATATGGCTCTTTTGAAATAAATACACAAATAGTAGATCACTGCATTAAAGGGCCAGGCATGAGAATGAAGTCCCAGATACATCCAGAGTAAACTCAGGTATACAACCATTCTACAACTTACTCACAGCTGCTTTATTGATAATTAATTCCTATTAATTTATTCTTCATCTCTTTTCTAACCATCAAGCTTCCAGGAAGCAGATGCTGGATGAGGCTCTGCTGAATCTCATCCTGAAGGACTGTCAGCCCCTCAGCTTATTTATTACTTTTTTTAAATAAAAATGTGTAAAAATAACTAAATAAAGCAATCCCAGTTCACAATCATCCTCATTCACAGCACGTTCACTTATATTTTCACGTTATGATACATGTTCACATTATTTGACTGTATCTAAACTTATCAAATATATTTTAAATTTAAATGAAAATATGAAATAATATAAAATACAATGACTTAAATTATATTATTGTATGTAGTAGGTCATCAAATCAGTGTCAGTTGAGTCTGTCAAATAAGTTGCCTGTAGGGATCTTTAGGTTCCAGTGACACAGGATCAATACAGGATCAATACAGGATCAATACAGGATCAATACAGGATCAATACAGGATCGACACAGGATCAATACAGGATCAATACAGTTTGGTAATGTGTTGAAACACAAGAAGATGCTTCTAGGCTGTAAACAGTTCAGGTTTATTGAGGCTGCTACTCACCCGTGCATGTGTGCTCTGCTCCGTGCACTGCTGGTCAAACACACCTGCATGGAGACCCTAATCAGAACCACAGGGGCTGCATGCATGGTTTAGGTTAGAGCGCCCCCTCTGACTGTGTGAGCTTTAAACTAATGGTTACAAGGAAATGAGTTCATATCTGTCATTTAACACAACAACCACACTAATCTAGCTGCACAGCAAAAGTATAAAATATTACTATTATTAATAACAAGGACACTTTGTTTAGCTCACGCCCTCCTCCCCCACTGCTTAGACTTAGATATGGAGAGTAAAACCATAATTCATGTGTGGACTACAACTTAAAGGCCAGCTGTCAGTAATATACTGATCGTGTTGTTTTATTCATCCTAGCAATTTAGTAAAATGATCTTTAAATGGCTGAGAAATGTACTGAGTAGATTTAAAAATAAAAATTCTGGGGGGGCTTGCCCCCTGACCGATCTATCTTTGCCATCAGTAAACGATGACGGGGCTGATGGAAGCTCCTGACATTCTGTTTCAAATTCAGTATATTTTATTTTAAATGGACAACCTGGTTTCTAAAGATAAACGGTCAAATAAAAAAACTGGTTCATTTCGTTTGGGAATGTTTGTAAAATGGGCGGCACAGTGGTTCAGTTGGTAGAGCTGCTGCCTCTCAGCAAGCAGGTCGCAAGTTCAAATCCTGACCCGGGACCTTTCTGGGTGGAGTTTGCATGTTCTCTCCGTGCTGCGTGGGTTTTCTCCGGGTACTCCGGTTTCCTCCCACAGACCAAAAACATTAGACTGAATGGTAACTCTAAAATGTCCCTAGGAGAGAGAGTGGATGGTTGTTTGTCTCGTTTGTCTCGATGTCTCCCTGTGATGGACTGGAGACATGTCCAGGGTGTCCCTGTGATGGATTGGAGACCTGTCCAGGGTGTCCCCCACTTCTCGCACAGTGATTGCTGGACATGGACACTGGCAACCCCCGTGACCCAAAATGGAAGAAGTGGGTAAAAAGATTGGATTTAAATATTTGCACAGGGGGCACCACTTCAAGTCTTACCTAGGGCACCACATTGGACTCTAGGGCCGGCCCTGCTCACAGAAAGGCAGGTAAAGGAAATAAATGGATGAAAGATGAACTTAGTCTCAAACTCTTTTATAAAAGACAACGGGTGACGTTCATCCCTTGAAGAAATGTTAGTCCATTAATTTAAAGCAGGTCTATGATAGAAACGCCGCCTGTAATCTGCGGTCTTCTTCTTAACGTTCTTGATCTTTGTTTCAGGGCAGCAGCCATCTTGATGCAAACTGGTCCCATTGTGACCTTACAGGTCGCAAAGTTTGGAGCGAGCTACCACGGCCTGGGAGCGCTGCTGAATGGACCGCCCTCTGACAGTGCAGGTCAGAACCTGAGAAAACATCAAGGCTTTTCTCTCTTACCACCCGTTAGCTCAAACTTTCTCATCAGGGGGTGAAGACCACCCTAAAGGAGCCTCCACGCTGGATGGTGTCGTGGACCGGTGTCCCTCAGGGTGGCTCCTCCGGGGCAGCAGAAGACAGAAGGAGCAGAGAAACAGGCAGCTCTACTGCTCCGACCCCAACATGGCCGGTTTGTGAGGGCGCCCTTTATGTGAAACACGTTTAAAACACGAGGGTGAGAATAAATCAGCACTTTTATTTTCTGCTCGTTCAGCAGACTTTGACCTGCAGCTTGGATCAGAACCAGATGACCCTGATGACCAAAGAAACTTGGTGTCATCAGTTTCCAGCATGAACCTTTGCACTGACGTAAGCTTTTAACACGATTATTAAATACTGTGTTTTCTGCAGCCTCAGACAATTTATAATAATAAAGACACTCGGCTCAAATAACAGACACAGAACCAGAAACTGAAAAACTAACATTTAAGAACTGGTTTTACATCAGGTTCCAAAAGGTATTTTCTATACTGGCCTGCTTTAAAGCTTAAAATTTTAAATGCATTTCTATGAGAAAACTCTGAGCCGCACTTGTAGCATGTTCTGAACGACTCTCAGCTACTACCACGCCAAACTTTAGCTCGATGTCTGGTGCATCAACCACATTGTAGCTGTTTTAGTGTTTTCTAAGATCAGTCAACCGAGACGACCGTCTTAAATCAGGTCGGCTCCAAAAGTTGTAGAGACGCATCCCGTGGTTCATAAGATATTTTGCTAACAAACAAGAGTGGTCTCCAAACGGCTAAACTTTCAACAAGGATCTTGTGCGATGTGTTCGTGCTCAGATTGTGTGATGGGTTCCAGCCTCAACTACTACCACAAGTTTTATATGTTAAATTTTTTATAAGGTTTTGGTAACACATCAACAAACAAATACATGTGCACGCACGTACGCTCGCGCAAACACACACACACGGTGAGTGTCCAAGTGTCCTTGAGCTCTGACGAGTTCTTCAGTGTGATGAAAACCGTCCCCGCAGGATGATGCTGCCACCGCCGTGCTTCACTGTAGGGATGTTTGTCTCAGCACGATGAGCGGCCTCATTTGTTGTTGACAAAACAAAGATTTTTTAAGGAACAAAATTCATTCAAACACTAGAAATGCAGAATAACCGGTGTCTAATCTTAAATATTTGCTTTTACCTGACGAGTATTTCTGTTTTTGCCTTCAAGACATTTCACAGGGAGTACTTGACGCTCCCAAACCCGAAATCCAGGGACAGAGTTGTGTCTGAACTGAGCCGGCCACAGCAAACCCTGAAAATGTCTCGGAGTCCGTCAGATGGACCGAGCTCCTCCAGCAGAACCCTGATGGTACGTCCTGCCGAGCTGCTGCTGCAACACGTGCAGATCAATCTGTTCGTACTTTGGTTAAAGACAGAAAAACGGTCACGCAAAACTTGAAACTGACTAAACTAATAATTTAAGATTTTACTGAAAACCTTCAAATGAAAATTAGTCGTTGCTTTTGAATTCAACAAATGTATAAAAACAAACAAACAAAAAAACGGTCTTGACAAAGATGATGGTACCTGCAGAACAGTGGCTCCCAACCCTGGTCCTTGAGGAACGCCATCTTGCATGTTTTCCTCGTTTCCCTGATTTGACTCACCTGATTTGAATGAATGGGTGATTAACAGGCTTCTGCAGAACTCGAGGACGTAATTAAATCACTGGATCAGGTGTGTTGAAGCAGGAAACAACTGAAACGTGCAGGATGGTGTTCCTCAGGGAACAGGGTTGGGGACCACTGCTCTAGAAGACTGAAACTTCACTGTGAGGTGTGTCCTGTAATCAGCTCTCAGGTGTCTTCAGTCTGTAATCAGCCCGCTCGTTTCAAGGTGTCAGGTGTCCACAAGAGGACAAACTGTAGAGACAGATGAGATAGATGGTACCCAGAGACTAGAACAACTTCCAAAGAGATTAGAGGTGAACTCCAAGGTCAAAGGTCATGTGTGTCAGATCACACCGTCTGTTTGAGACAAAGTGGTCCTAATGGAAGACGACTGAGGAGGACACCAGATCATAACAAAGACTGGTTGAGAAGACAAAGCTTCTGGAGAATGTCCCATGGACAGATGAGACAAAAGTTGTGGGTCAAAGCTGACGAGGTCCTGAATCTGTGCTGGGACCAGTGAAACCTCAGGTGGACTGGAAAAGCTTCTGGAGCACGAGGTGTCAGGAAGTTTGGTCTCAGTCGCAGGTCAGGAGGCGTCCCACAGGGTAATGACCCAGAACACCCAGGACTGGATCAGAACCAAACATGAGACTAAACCTGATCTAGATGCTGTTGAACAGGAAGATGAAAAGTTGTGACCTTCGTGTTTTTTCTTTATCCAAAGTGTCCAAACAAACTCATCCCCATCGTTACATCTTTAAAACATCGAGCATGAAATGATTCAAACGTGTAAAATCACAGAATTAAATTTAAGCCTTCATTTATTTATTTTTTGGTGTGTAAGCGTCAGGCTCGCTCGCAGGACAACTTGAGCGTGGACCGTGGAGGACACCTGCTGGACAAAAGACACAACTCCCCGGCACGGAAGGACCGAGCGCCGTCGTTCCCGATACGCTCGAGCGTTTCTACCGACGACGTCCTCTCCCGTCGCAGTTCTCCCTCAAAGCGTGGCAGCCACAGAAGTCCTGCAGGTGTCTGGAGAACGCCCTTCTCGCAGCAGTCCACACCTGCGCCTTCAGTCCAGCCGATGCGCATCGACATCCCTCTGACCCGAGCGGCGAGCGCGCAGTCAAACCCTCCGCTCTCCACCTTCCAGCTCAGCTCTTCTCTGGTGCAGAAGAAAAGGAACGAGCAGAGCCGAGGTGCTCGGGTCCACGAGAGCTCAGTACCTGCAGCCAAGAAGCCTCTTCGGCCTCCGGTTCTGTGGCAGCAGCAAAGACCCCCCACGTCTGGAGACGGAGCAGAACAGCCCCGAGCGAGCATCCCTCCTACGAAACACGTCTCCTTCCAAGAACCGCCCCGCAAGCAGAACACCACAGGTCCCGTAAAGCCGAGAGACCACCAGGAGCTGCGTGACCCCTGGAGGAGGGAGGCCCAGGAGAAACTGCAGGAGCAGTGCAGGCTTCAGGCCGTGGAGCTCCTCCACCAGGAGGTGCGGCTGCTTCGGGCCAAGGACGAGCGAACGGCGGAGGAGAACGAGCGACTCCGGAGGCTCAACCTGGAGCAGCAGTTTCAGACGAGGCTGCAGGAAGTTCAAAGCAGAGGAGAGGAAGAGGAGGAGGAAGACGAGGGTTTGGACATGACGGTGGTCCTGCAGCGGCTCGGAGACCAAACGTCAAAAACCGAGGTCTGTCAGGGAACAGAAAGCTCCTAAATTAAACACCAGCTTGTGTTTTCAGTGATTTAAATACATTTTGTGATTTTCCCCGTTTAGACGACCAGATGCTCCGAGGGCAGCGATCGTTGGGAGCAGAAAGAGAAGCCCCCCCACATCAAACGCAAAGGTACAAACATCCAGTGCTTTCTGAGTTTTATTGAAATGTGTCAGGTTATTTTGCTGACGCTAAAGACAACAGACAGAAACATGATTACTGCAGCAGGAGAAACGACACGTGGTTTTTATTTGAAGACTGAACAGCTGTTTTCACAAGCACCGAGCACGCGGCTGTGAAACTCGTGCATCTTATTGTACTGAACAAATCTTGTGCGTCTACTTTGAGACCGATTCGTCTCCATACTTGTTGGTTTGTTTTTGGCAGACGGCCTGAAGCACGAAGACCACGTGACACCAGATGAGTGAGTTGACATTTCATGACACAAACGGCTTCAGAATGAAACTCAAGTCTAACAAATATTCAAGCAGCTTTCCCAACACCATTGTTTTATGACAGAAATGTCCCGAAGCAGATGTGCAAAACAAGAAAACGATCTAATTATTTTATTTGTAAAGTGCTGTCCCTGAGTAAACCACACATCCTGTTTGAGTCCTCGTTACACTTCAAGTAGTTCTGCTTGTACATTTGCAGAAACCTGGAGTTGAAGACCAAGAGTGTGCCGGCTCCTGAAAAGCTTCCGTTCAGGGAGCGTCAGCGTCTCTTCACCGTGGCATCGAGCGCATAAAACAAAGTCTCAACCGGAACGTCGGAACAAAAACAGAAGCTACAAACAGAAACGGCCACGAGGCTGTAAAGTGACTGCACAGTACAAGGCAGAGTGCATGCTTGTAAAACAACCCCTAGCCCATGTCCACACAGGAAGATTTTTATTGCCAGTTTAAAAAAAATTCTCCTTTTATAAAGCACCGTTTGCAGAAACGTTTTCATCCAAATGTAAACACAGAAAACAAACAAATGCTGTAGTAACTATGCCAGACCTGTGTGTGGCGCCGTTTAGCTGCCAGCAAACCATTACGTCGTGTAGTCTGGTAGAAATCATACATGAACAAACCATACCAGAGGTGAGCAACATGTGGCTCGAGGGTCAAAAGTGGCCCTTGTACAATCTCCATCCGGCCCCTAATATACTTAATTAAAAATAACTTTTTAAAGTTTATGAAAAAAACTTGCAATGTATCAATGAAACAAGTTTAAATTAAACATCTTGGACAAATGTATCAAAAAATCTTTAGAATAAGATTGGAGCATTTCCTGTACCATTATCCAAGGAGCGCCCCGCCCAGTCAACAGAACAGAGAGCCCCGCCCAGTCAACAAGAA